TAAGAGTTGTGGTTGAGATTTGAATATATTAAAGAGAAATGTTGTGGACCTCATATTTTTTTTCAAAAAAGGAAATATAACACTTACTTTGAAACAATCTAAAAAAGAAAATAAGACATATAAAATGATACTTCATATTAAGGGACTGGAAGTTAAACGCAAACAACAATCACACACAAAAGGAGTACAAATAACCACTTAGACTACGAGCCCGTTTGGTAACACAAAAATTGGCTGATTCTACTGAAATTTATTAAGTTCTAGCTGAAGTGGTTGTATTGGCTGATTATGCTATTTTAAGAAAAAATATTTTTAAAATATATTTTATTAATAAAATAAAGAAAAATTATATGTAAAAATAGCTAAAATGATCATCTACAGTAACTTCAGCCAATACAGCCAGGAAAAAAACTTCTACCTTACTTTTTGTTATTATTACACAATTCAGCGCGCTAAAATAAAAGTTAAATATCTAGCAAAAAAGATGACTGATAAGTCTGATAAGCCGAAAAACAATGTTACCAAACTATATCAAACAGAATGTTTTAGCTGAGCTTTAATTTTCCGGGAACACTTGCTTTTTTAGCTTTTCTCAAGAATATTTCTGTATTCCTTAACATCTGAATTTGAGTACAAATAAAACATACCCTGTATCACTGTTTGATAAGCAAATTTATATGAATTTATTATTTTATTCTACTACTTTTAAATAATCATGACAACACATTGCAAAATAGTGTCAAATAATGGCAAAACAATAAAAATTACTCTGTATCTCTCAATTGAAGGAATATTTCAAGAAGTCCAAGGAAAAGAATTTTTTCTTAATATACGTGCAATTCACAATTCTCGGTAATCAGTATATTTTTATTTGGATTGGTTTCAATTGTAATAATCAGATTTACATGAACATGCAAGATGAGACCCATATATAACCTAATAAATTTTGGCTAGATTAAAAACATGCAAGATGAGACCCATATATAACCTAATAAATTTTGGCTAGATTAAAAATAATACTTCGTATTCCATAGTAAATTGACATGTATCCTAGAATGAAGCAGATCGTTTTTTAGTTCTAAGAATGTTTTAATTAGACTTATTTCGGGTATGGAGAATAATAAAGTAAAAACTTTGTGATTTAGGTTTGTGTAGCAAAGAGAAATTATAGTAACCACAAAATAGTTAATTAAGAGCCCTTTTGGTGACCCTGTTTTTCAATTATCAACTTACTTTTCTTTAAACATGTAACTTTTGATTTCACACGCTAAATTGAGTAGTAATCACAATAACTTAGGTTGAAGTTACTTTTCTACCTGCATTGGTTGAAGTTACTGTAAAAGGTCATTTTAGTTATTTTTCATATAATTTTTTCTTTTTTTTATTAATAAAAAATATTTTAATTTTTTTTTTAATAAATCAGCAAAATCGGCCAATCCAGGCACTTCAGTCAGAACTTCATAAGATTCAGTAGAAACAACCGATTCAGCCAATTTCAGTGTCTACACTTTCCGGTATTTTTTACAATCGTGATAAATAACTCAAGAGTGTTGCTTGATGTACACACTTTTAGTACACATTCTTTATATACCCTTCTCAATTATCTGTCTACAAGACGACTTCTTAACGAATTGCATGTGCAGATAGAGAACTAGAGGGTGTAGACAAAATATATACAAAAAGTGTGTACTAGTAGTCCAATATCATTTTGCTTAACCTAAATTAAGAAAAAAATATTTTAGGGTGTAAAGAAATTTCAAGGAGAACGTCATTATAGAAAAGTCAAATTTGGGTTCAGTGGTTACTTTTTGAGTTTCAAGCTGGGAATTTTATCGGTTCAAGATCTGAAAGTTGAGTTTACTATCAGTTCTGGACCCGAAAGAATAATTCTATCAATAAGAGACCTATAAGATATCTATCTATCGATACAAGGCATAAAACATCACTGCCGTTAACATACAATTAACAGAGTATATTGTGGTGCCACGTAATAAAATAACAAAAATAAACATTAAAACCCTCATATAATAAATCACAAATTAGCTAAACTTATACATAGCCAACTGCCACCTATATCCCACTATCTGCAATTCCCTCCTCCCGTACAAGATTCAGCCGCCCAGTATGCCATAGTCCTCATACACATTCCACAAACTGCCATTCCATCCTGCAATTAGGGTTAAAGTAAAATTGTCATACACTTTATTTTGCACTACGCTTCTTTTCCATATCTCACTTTTACATTATTTCCATTACTCGTATATTTTTGTTGTTGTATTAATGTAGCATGAAATTTTTTTTTGAAAAATTTATTTAGCAATATTTGTGACTTAGGTATCACCATGAAATTATATACTTCCTCCGTTCCCTTTTAATTGCAACAGTCAACATTTCACGTTTGCCAACGCACAAGTTTGACCATTAATATCTTTCATTTCTTATTAGATAAAAATTTTAAAAAATCATATTTTGAAAATTTAGAATAAGAAGAATTTAATAATATTTTTTAAAATTTTAATTTATAATACATTGATTAATAAAATATAGTCAAAGTAGAATATGTGAATAGTGAAAAAAGTCCAATGTTGCAATTAAAAGAGAACGGAGGTAGTATATATATATTTTCTCATAAAGATACACTTCGCTCGACAAGCTATTTTCAATTCACAGTGTTTTAAGTAGGTGTTAATTGGGTGAGATTACTTTGATGCTTTTGTTATTATTATTTTCATTACAGATGGCAACAGAAAATGATGAATGGATATTTGATGAATATGACAGTGAAGATGACAAACAACCTGCTTGTTTGCCCCTCTCCACAAATGGGGCATGTGCTATATTTCATGATGTAGGTGACTTATCAGATTTTTCTGAGCCAGCGACGATACAATCTTTGACCGAACTAAAGAGCATTCATGGTTCTGAATCTACAGCAAGTGAAGATGAAGTAGACTCTGGGCAAATCCAAGCAAGTCGTAGGGAGGCTAACTTCAGGTTGGAACAATCATTTGCATCCATTGATGAATTTTATGAAGCTGTTAAAAGCTACGGGATTCAAAATATGTATAATTTAGACTTTGTGAAGAAAGATAAGATAAGATGTCGTGTGAAGTGTGTGAAGGACTGTCCGTGGCTTATATATTGTTCAAAAGTTGGAAATTTAGAAACCTTTAAGGTAAAAACCTTCATCTCTAGCCATAATTGTCAAAAGGAGGGAGTGAAAGCAAGATTTGCTGATACTAAGTGGTTGGGAAATAAAGTAATTGACGACTTTAGAGAACATCCAAAAATGGGAGGCGAAGAATTAAAAGATCTTATATATAAGAAATATAATGTCACGATCAGTATTGCAAAGGCATATAGAGTAAAGGCATATGCTTTACAATCACTCCATGGCAATGTTGCTCAACAATATTCTAAGCTGCCAGATTACCGTGCGGAGTTACTAAAGACCAATCCTGGATCATCCGTAGAATTATTGTCACGAAGACACACTGCAACTGGTCCATCAAGATTTGATAGAATATATATATGCATTGATGCGTGTAAAAGGGGGTTTATAAATGGATGCCGGCCACTAATTGCAATAGATGGATGCCATCTAAGTGGATACTATCGTGGTCAGCTTCTTGCAGCAGTTGGTCTTGATGGGAACAATGGCTTGTACATTATAGCATATGCTATAGTTTCATCTGAAACTAGAGAAACATGGTTGTGGTTTTTAAATAGTTTGCTAATGGATATTGGACAAACATCCATACATGGAGAGAGATGGACATTCATGTCTGATCAAGGAAAGGTATATACTTAATTTTTAATTACTTTACCGTTAATACTTATATACATGGTTTACAAATTTGTTTCGGGTTTGCTTAATTAACAGGGTCTTGTGGCTGCACTACAAGAACTATATCCTTCTCCATATCACCGCTTCTGTGTACGTCATATGTACATGAACTTTGAGAAAAAATGGAAGGATGAACAATTAAGATCTCTATTTTGGTTAGCTGCAAGATCCACTACCACGTGTGATTTTGACAGACACGTGAATAAGATGAAGGCTAAAGAGTACACTGCATGGGAATATCTCACTGAAGTAGGTATCACCATGAAATTATATATATATTTTTAGTTCTAAGAATGTTTTAATTAGACTTATTTCATTACTGGGTATGGAGAATAATAAAGTAAAAACTTTGTGATTTAGGTTTGTGTAGCAAAGAGAAATTATAGTAACCACAAAATAGTTAATTAAGAGCCCTTTTGGTGACCCTGTTTTTCAATTATCAACTTACTTTTCTTTAAACATGTAACTTTTGATTTCACACGCTAAATTGAGTAGTAATCACAATAACTTAGGTTGAAGTTACTTTTCTACCTGCATTGGTTGAAGTTACTGTAAAAGGTCATTTTAGTTATTTTTCATATAATTTTTTCTTTTTTTTATTAATAAAAAATATTTTAATTTTTTTTTAATAAATCAGCAAAATCGGCCAATCCAGGCACTTCAGTCAGAACTTCATAAGATTCAGTAGAAACAACCGATTCAGCCAATTTCAATGTCTACACTTTCCGGTATTTTTTACAATCGTGATAAATAACTCAAGAGTGTTGCTTGATGTACACACTTTTAGTACACATTCTTTATATACCCTTCTCAATTATCTGTCTACAAGACGACTTCTTAACGAATTGCATGTGCAGATAGAGAACTAGAGGGTGTAGACAAAATATATACAAAAAGTGTGTACTAGTAGTCCAATATCATTTTGCTTAACCTAAATTAAGAAAAAAATATTTTAGGGTGTAAAGAAATTTCAAGGAGAACGTCATTAAGGAAAAGTCAAATTTGGATTCAGTGGTTACTTTTTGAGTTTCAAGCTGTGTCGCAAATTGCCATTTAGGCGTCCAGGTTCATCCTCCCAAACCCCATGAAATTCTGTATATTCTGTACTACAAATAACAGTCCACATTTGCTATTTCAGAAACTTTCATCTGATCCCTGACCTCCTTTGTACTACTTCTGTCCTCTCACACCATAGTTATTTCCCTTCATTTCGTGCCATTCAGAATTTCAAATCGTGAATGAACTCCCACAATTTTTCCTAACTCCCCCACTTGATTAACTGTTCAAGCAGCTCCTTCAATCTCACATGGCGGCGATGGCTTCACGTTTCCTCCATCCCCCGGCTCCTAAACAGTACTTACCGAGAACGCAGAAAACCCATTTTGTCGCGACCTTCAAACTCTCATTCTCTTCCCGGGTCGCATCCGGGATCCGACCCAGGAATACAGTTTCGTGCGCGTTGATAAAACCCGATGGAGGCAGGCTCGACGTTGGGGAAGAAGAAGAAAAGAAGAAAAGATGAAAAACCCGATGGGTTCATTTTTTTTCATTTTTCTACTTTTTGCATAGAGTTTATGATATTTGGATTCAGATGCGGACACTGGCGAAGAACAAGGAGAGCCCTCCAGATGGATTTATGTGCCCAAGTGGTTGGAAAGTCTTGGTGGAGTACTATGATACCTTGTCATCTCCAGCAGAAAATGAAAGAGTTCTTCCTGAAGCTGTCTCGGTTTGAAAGGTTTGACGAAATATGCATTCGGAAAAATATTGCATGCTATAACACTTCCCATGTGGATAGTGTACTTGTATATAACATGACGATTCCTTGAAAGATCAAGTATTGGTGTGCTCAGGCGTCCATCGGGGTTTTAATCGTCTAGCAAGATCTCAATTGTTCATTTGATCACATGTTGTAATAAAACGTCATGAATGGCTTCCTACTGCAGTCAGCCCCAATATATACTACGTATTTTCTTTAAATGTCAGCTTGTAATGGCACTGGAGATATTCATGAGGTGATTGAAATGGGAAAAGTTGCAAATAATATCTTTATGCTTGTTTTGACATAAAGATTGGCCCTAGGAAAAAGCCTTTTGTACAACTATATTTATTCACTTTTCTTGTAATGGCACTGCAAATAATATCTTTATGCTTGTTTTGACATAAAGATTGGCCCTAGGAAAAAGCCTTTTGTACAACTATATTTATTCACTTTTCGTGTACACCTCTATTTCGTTTGTGTGTGTGTGTGTATATATATATATATATATATATATATATATATATATATATATATATATATATATATATATATAGAGTAATCTTCCGGTCAGGTATACCTGACCGGAGCCGCCGTCCGGCCTCCTCCTTTTGGGGGCCTTCCCGGTGGTATTTTTTGCTCAAATTTTTTGTGTATGTTCCTCATCAAGTCTAGTTCATCCATACCAAATTTCATCAAAAAATTCAATCAGGAAGGTCGTCAAATGTGAGATTTGAATATATTAAAGAGAAATGTTGTGGACCTCATATTTTTTTTTCCAAAAAAGGAAATATAACACTTACTTTGGAACAATCTAAAAAAGAAAATAAGACATATAAAAATAATACTTCGTATTAAGGGACTGAAAGTTAAACGCAAACAACAATCACACATAAAAGGAGTACAAATAACCACTTAGACTACGAGCCCGTTTGGTAACATAAAAATTGGCTGATTCTACTGAAATTTATTAAGTTCTAGCTGAAGTGATTGTATTGGCTGATTCTGCTATTTTAAGAAAAAATATTTTTAAAATATATTTTATTAATAAAATCAAGAAAAATTATATGTAAAAATATCTAAAATGGTCATCTACAGTAACTTCAGCCAATACAGCCAGGAAAAAACTTCTGCCTTACTTTTTGTTATTATTACACAATTCAGCGCGCTAAAATAAAAGTTACATATCTGGCGAAAAAGATGGCTGATAAGTCTGATAAGCCGAAAAACAGTGTTACCAAACGGTCTCTATATCAAACAAGAATGTTTTAGCTGAGCTTTTCCGGAACACTTGCTTTTTTAGCTTTTCTCAAGAATATTTCTGTATTCCTTAACATCTGAATTTGAGTACAAATAAAACATACCCAGTATCACTGTTTGATAAGCAAATTTATATGAATTTATTCTACTACTTTTAAATAATCATGACAACACATTGCAAAATAGGGTCAAACAATACCAAAACAATAAAAATTACTCATCTCTCAATTGAAGGAATATTTCAAGAAGTCCAAGGAAAAGAATTTTTTCTTAATATACGTGCAATTCACAATTCTCGGTAATCAGTATATTTTTATTTGGATTGGTTTCAATTGTATTAATCAGATTTACATGAACATGCAAGATGAGACCCATATATAACCTAATAAATTGTTAAGACACGGGGTTCCATCCTAAAAGGTCAACCTGTTAGGAGGAGTAGGCCGAAGCTTAATAAAGCACTCTAATGCTTCTCAATTTTCCGGTGTGGGACATTTAACACCCCTCCTCACGACCAGACACTTCGCCTAGATCGTGTCTTCATTCATTTTTTCATCGGTTCGTCAATTTTTTTATCGTGTCATCATTTTTCATAAGGGGCCCCACACCATGGATCGATTTGGCTCTAATACCATGTTAAGACCCGGGATTCCATCCTAAAAGGTCAACCTGTTAGGAAGAGTAGCCCGAAGCTTAATAAAGCACTCTAATGCTTCTCAATTTTCCGGTGTGGGACATTTAACATAAATTTTGGCTAGATTAAAAATAATACTTCGTATTCCATAGTAAATTGACATGTATCCTAGAATGAAGCAGAACGTTTTTTAGTTCTAAGAATGTTTTAATTAGACTTATTTCATTACTCGGTATGGAGAATAATAAAGTAAAAACTTTGTGATTTAAGTTTGTGTAGCAAAGAGAAATTATAGTAACCACAAAATAGTTAATTAAGAGCCCTTTTGGTGACTCTGTTTTTCAATTATCAACTTACTTTTCTTTAAACATGTAACTTTTGATTTCACGCGCTAAATTGAGTAGTAATCACAATAACTTAGGTTGAAGTTACTTTTCTACCTGCATTGGTTGAAGTTACCGTAAAAGGTCATTTTAGTTATTTTTCATATAATTTTTTCTTTTTTTATTAATAAAAAATATTTTAATTTTTTTTTAATAAATCAGCAAAATCGGCCAATCCAGGCACTTCAGCCAGAACTTCATAAGATTCAGCAGAAACAACCGATTCAGCCTATTTCAGTGTCTACACTTTCCGGCATTTTTTACAATCATGATAAATAACTCAAGAGTGTTGCTTGATGTACAGACTTTTAGTACACATTCTTTATACACCCTTCTCAATTATCTGTCTACAAGACGACTTCTTAACGAATTGCATGTGCAGATAGAGAACTAGAGGGTGTAGACAAAATATATACAAAAAGTGTGTACTAGTAGTCCAATATCATTTTGCTTAACCTAAATCAAGAAAAAATTATTGGTGAAATTCATGTAAATAATCCCTACTTCTTGACATTCTACAATAATAATCTGTACTTAACAAATTCATGAAAATAATCCAAACCCTTAAACTTGATCATAGGAATAGATTAAATGAAACGGAGTTAATTATTCCGTCTCAGCCCACTACAACTTTGTTTCCCAACGATTCAACTCATCCCTAAATATCCTTAGTCTTCATTTCCCGCTCAATGAGAACTCTTCATCCCCCTCACCATACTCTTCTTCTACTTTGCCAGTTTGCCTTTGAACATTCTCTTTTCTCATGATATCTTAATCTCTCAATCAGCGAGTCATTGATTATCCTGGAACGAGACACACAACTCAGATGAAATATGCAAGGAGATGGATGTGGATCTCTGAAATTATCAATAGCTTAGAAGAAAGAGTTCTCTGAGGCTGTTTCAAGAATCAGGTTAGTATTAGGGTAAAAGTTATTTGATTTCCGATTGGTTATTAATATGTGATGTTCGTATATGTATAGATGTATCTCTTACAAACTGCAAAATTAGTTATCCAAACATCTTGGTTAATGATTAATAAAGTTATTGCTATGACTTGACTTTTCCTGTGAATTCGAAACATTCAATTAAAATGTTAACAAAAGTGAAACATAATCCTAAAGCTTGGAAAACAGGAAAGCGTAATTACATAAACTTATGAGACTTAAGAGCCACTTGTAGCCATGGAAGTTCAAGCATCCATAAATACATCTTTGATATGAAGGCATTGTTTGTTTAGCTTTCTATGAAGATGAAGACAGTCTTAACTTTTACAGATGCAACTTTATCAGTTACTTTTCATGAATGTAACATAGTTTGAGTGCACTTTTATGATATTCTGGATCATGTACTTTCAAGAGAGTTTAGATAATATTTTGCTTCATTTTGGTGTATGTTTTTTTTATGAATCATGGTTAAATATCTATTTCAAGTTTTGTGGTTTTATTTTCATTAGTCTGTGAATCAGAATTCTATGTTATTAGTGTGGCTGTTTTATTAATGTGATTGCTCAGGTCTTATTATATGTCTTGTGTATTATTGAATGTTATTAGTGTGGTTAGTTTATGTCCATCCTCAAAAGATCCCATATGTTATTACTATGCAGGTTTAACATTGCACTTGTACTCTACTGAGTTTGTTAATACAGTAGGTGATGATGCTTTTTTCAATTAATCTGGTCTGGATCAAGATTTGGTGGAAGTGTGCTTGTGTGAAAGTGTATAATTTAGAGTGTCAAGTTACTGCTTTTTTTAAACAAACAAAGAAGTTTTTTATTTAAGAAAGGAAATACAATTGATTTGTTATATATTACTACGTATTAAAAAGGACAGTTTGGTGCACCTTAGTGTCTTTGCTAGGTGAGGGTCTGGGAAGAAGGTACCAGGTGTGTGTAGGAGGTGAGCCTTCATTTGTCATTTTGACAAGAGGCCGCTCTCAAAACTTAAACTCGTGGCTTCTAAATTACTTGAGAGTGTGAAGTTACTGCTAATAGCAAAGAATACATTTCTTCTCCTTGAGAGTGTCATTTTGCACAAGAATACATACCTCACTTTATTAAATGTTGGGTGAGGTAATTACTATCCTTACTCCATTTTGCACAAGTAACTAATAATACTAGTAGAACAAGTAATACTATCTTTATGTATTTGACAGTAAACAATTTCAGTCTTTAGCTCCAACTGAACTCATTTTAGAACATAAATACAACAACATTATTAATGATTATACAAAAATGGCCAAAGGGCACTACTTTAGATTACACATTGAGCTGCAACACGTAGAATACAGTAGGAGATCGTGCATCTTTAGCTTTTCACTTCAAAAGTGAAAGATTTTTAAAAACTAACTACACTTGTTAAGAGAAATTCTAAGCATACTGCTGGTTCACAAAAAAAAAAAACAGAACGCTCCGATACTATTCAGTCTATACTCACATCCTACCAACCAAAATGGACAGTACAATAGCAGTGAAAAAACACGATAAAACTGCAACCCTCATAGCATCTTTTTCTGCCTTTGACGCCCTCCTACCTTCAACTTCTAAAAACTTCTTCTTCATTCTAAGTTTACACATTTTTTCCAGCAGCATTTTGTTCTCAACTTTCATTTTGTCCAACTCTTCTTTAAGCTTTTCGTTCTCCTTCAAAATTGTGATTTTTTCAGCATCCATTGGCATACCATTCTCTATCTTTTTTGCATCATGCTCCCATAAAAAGAAATTACAATTGTCACTGCAAATACAAAAACAAACCACCACTTTCAAACACTAACAAAATGAAATTTTGATTATTTTTATTCAAATCAAACCTGCCATAGAGGACAACCATAAAATTTCTTTCCCTTGTTTGCTCCAGAAGTTACTGTCTTCAGAGGCGAAACCACATCATGTTTGCATTTCACAGCTAATCTCGTTATGAATTTTGATGATGGGCTCGATGTTGAACTCGCTTCCTTAGAATTACAAAAACTCATGGTTTTGAAGAAAATTAATATATTTGGATCTAGGGTTTCCAAGTGGAACTAGAAAATAGGGGGCAGCCATTTAATAGCAGAAAGGTCGATGAATCTGAAGAACGATTCTATATGAATTGAAGAGATGAAAAATGTAGAGGACAAGATGATAGATAAGAGGAGAAGAACGGTAGATTTGGAAGAAGAAGAAGAAAAGATGATATGATGTACCGCGAAGAGAGGAAACATCGACGTTGGGGATCAGATTTAAACGGAATGGTTACTTCTGTTTGCTGTAATCTATTTTTGTGAAGTGGTTTAAGGGTTTGGATTATTTTCATGAATTTGTTAAGTACGGATTATTATTGTAGAATGTCAAGAAGTAGGGATTATTTACATGAATTTCACCTAACCAAAATTATTTTAGGGTGTAAAGTAATTTTAAGGAGAATGTCATTAAGGAAAAGTCAAATTTGGGTTCAGTGGTTACTTTTTGAGTTTCAAGCTGTGTCGTAAATTGCCATTTAGGCGTCCAGGTTCATCCTCCCAAACCCCATGAAATTCTGTATATTCTGTACTACAAATAACAGTCCACATTTGCTATTTCAGAAACTTTCATCTGATCCCTGACCTCCTTTGTACTACTTCTGTCCTCTCACACCATAGTTATTTCCCTTCATTTCGTGCCATTCAGAATTTCAAATCGTGAATGAACTCCCACAATTTCTCCTAACTCCCTCTCTTAATTAGCTGTTCGAGCAGCTCCCTCAATCTCACATGGCTGCGATGGCTTCGCGTTTCCTCCATCCTCCGGCTCCTAAACAGTACTTACCGAGAACGCAGAAAACCCATTTTGTCGCGACCTTCAAACTCTCATTCTCTTCCCGGGTCGCATCCGGGATCCGACCCAGGAATACAGTTTCGTGCGCGTTGATAAAACCCGATGGAGGCAGGCTCGTGGAGCTGTTCGTCGAGGAATCTCAGAGAGAGGCGATAAAGAGACATTCTTTGGGTCTTCCCCGAATCAAGCTCTCCCTGATCGACCTCCAATGGCTTCACGTGCTCAGCGAAGGGTGGGCCAGCCCATTGAAGGGCTTCATGAGGGAATCCGAGTTCCTCCAAACGCTTCATTTCAACTCGCTACGTCTTGAGGATGGTTCCTTCGTCAACATGTCGGTGCCGATAGTGCTCGCCATTGACGATGCCCAGAAGAGCCAGATCAGCGGGTCGAGCAGCGTGGCCCTTATCGACGATAAAGATAAAACTGTAGCTATTCTCAACGAGTAAGGGTTTTTTATTTTCTTTTAATTAAACCTTTTAACTCATTTTGTTCCATACTTTGTTTTTTGGCTGAATATGAAATCATTCAATCTATGAGGAATGTTCATTGCCTAGTTCATTTTTGCAGTGATTATGGTGATGGGATATGCTAATTCCAGTTCTGTTTCATATTGTGAGGGGGGTTGTTTTGTGAGTGGTTAGTTTATTCATTATGATTCCTTCTGTGTTCACAGTTCACCGTAGTTTGGAAATTTACTTTCTAATAAGTATCTAAATCCAGTACAAAACTAGGAGAATCTGCAAAAAAAGAACAATTTTCTGGATAAATTCCAAACCCAGGGTTTTGGGTTTGGTTTCCCCTGGTGTTCACATTGATTAAACATCACTTTATGTAACATTCTGTTGCATTCCAACCGGATCAGTATCCAAATAGGTCTTTGTTCATTCACCTTTTTGCAGATACACGTGGATACATTTAGGTTCATCGTTTTTACTTGACCTAGATTCACCTGAATCCATCATATTTACTTATATTCAGATTAACCAATTGCAGCCTTCACTTGCAAAGTGAAATCGTTGTGAATACATGTTTTTCCCTTTTTGTATTCGTATTCACTAAAGGATGATTTTTGTGTGTGTGAGAGAGGTTCTATTAAAGGTAATAGTGGGTCAGGAATTAGGCTATTTACTTCTGTAGTTAGTTTATTCATATCCCGACCACTGTTTGGCCAAACCCATACAAGCAGGATTTATGATTTGTAATGCTTTTTTTATATCTTCGTCTACATTACAATTTACAATTTCTCAAATTAGGTGTTATTATGTGATTGGTTGATTGCAGCATAGAGATATACAAGCATAACAAGGAAGAAAGGATAGCTAGAACATGGGGCACGACTGCCCAAGGGCTGCCATATGTTGAACAAGCTATAACTAACAGTGGAAACTGGCTAATCGGTGGGGATTTGGAAGTGATAGAGCCGATAAAGTATGAAGATGGGCTTGACAGGTTCTGGCTATCCCCTGCACAGCTCCGTGATGAATTCTCCAAGAGGAATGCAGATGCCGTATTTGCTTTTCAACTTAGAAATCCTGTGCATAACGGGCATGCTCTCTTGATGACTGATACACGCCGCCGTCTTCTTGAGATGGGTTATGAGAACCCAATTCTTTTGCTTCACCCGCTTGGAGGTTATACGAAGGCGGATGATGTTCCCCTTCATTGGCGAATGAAGCAACATGAGAAGGTCAGATTCTGTATTTTATGAGTTTTTTGTTTTGAAGTTTGAACCAAGCATGTTTAACTCATCGATTAAATTTAATTAATTAGTTTTGCAGACATATAACGTATGTGATCTCACGTCAGCCAATTACAAAGATACTGAATAACATACTGTATAAGATATTGGATAACTCATAGTATCATGTTGAACTTTTATGAGAGAATCTTAAGTCTGAATATACTATAAGTGCCTATTACGCTCCGACAAGCAATTCGACTTTAGTACTTGCATGTGGAAAGTGTCCCATGTTCTGGACCATGTTAAGTCGTTAAGCCTCTCACACCAGCCAAATACAAAGATATAAACTCATATTCCGTATATAATGTTATAGACTGCCCTCTTGTTTGAGCTACCTTTTAGAACCGAATTTCAAAACTTATTAATTCTTATTACATATTTCCTCTATGTTAGCATATATTTATCTACTTCCTTCCCGCCTTAACTTGCAGGTTCTTGAAGATGGTGTGCTTGATCCTGAAACGACTGTTGTTTCTATATTCCCATCTCCCATGCACTATGCTGGCCCGACGGAGGTGCAATGGCATGCAAAGGCTCGTATAAATGCTGGTGCTAATTTCTACATTGTGGGTCGTGATCCAGCTGGAATGGGCCACCCGACAGAGAAGAGAGATTTATATGATGCAGATCATGGGAAGAGAGTGTTGTCAATGGCACCCGGACTGGAGCGGCTTAACATTTTGCCTTTTAAGGTGGTACATATGACTTTGATGGCTTTTTTGTCACAAAAACTGCATGATCTTCTGTTCTTCTTACGTATTGATTTTTTTCCCTTCTTGTAGGTGGCTGCATATGACAAGACTCAGAATAAAATGGCATTCTTTGATCCATCTAGGCCTCAAGATTTTATTTTCATATCTGGCACCAAGGTATCTGTGGGTTCATTTTTTTTCATTTTTCTACTTTTTGCATAGAGTTTATGATATTTGGATTCAGATGCGGACACTGGCGAAGAACAAGGAGAGCCCTCCAGATGGATTTATGTGCCCAAGTGGTTGGAAAGTCTTGGTGGAGTACTATGATACCTTGTCATCTCCAGCAGAAAATGAAAGAGTTCTTCCTGAAGCTGTCTCGGTTTGAAAGGTTTGACGAAATATGCATTCGGAAAAATATTGCATGCTATAACACTTCCCATGTGGATAGTGTACTTGTATATAACATGACGATTCCTTGAAAGATCAAGTATTGGTGTGCTCAGGCGTCCATCGGGGTTTTAATCGTCTAGCAAGATCTCAATTGTTCATTTGATCACATGTTGTAATAAAACGTCATGAATGGCTTCCTACTGCAGTCAGCCCCAATATATACTACGTATTTTCTTTAAATGTCAGCTTGTAATGGCACTGGAGATATTCATGAGGTGATTGAAATGGGAAAAGTTGCAAATAATATCTTTATGCTTGTTTTGACATAAAGATTGGCCCTAGGAAAAAGCCTTTTGTACAACTATATTTATTCACTTTTCGTGTACACCTCTATTTGGTTTGTGTGTGTGTGTATATATTTATATATATATATATATAGAGAGAGAGAGAGGGAGAGAGAGAGAGAGAGAGTAATCTTCCGGTCAGGTATACCTGACCGGAGCCGCCGTCCGGCCTCCTCCTTTTGGGGGCCTTCCCGGTGGTATTTTTTGCTCAAATTTTTTGTGTATGTTCCTCATCAAGTCTAGTTCATCCATACCAAATTTCAGCAAAAAATTCAATCGGGAAGGTCGTCAAATGATTTTTGCAAGTTAACTGGTCCGGAAAATACATATTCCGGACCAGTTAACTTGCAAAAATCATTTGACGACCTTCCCGATTGAATTTTTTGCTGAAATTTGGTATGGATGAACTAGACTTGATGAGGAACATACACAAAAAATTTGAGCAAAAAATACCACCGGGAAGGCCCCCAAAAGGAGGAGGCCGGACGGCGGTTCCTGTCAGGTATACCTGACAGGAACATTTGTGTATATATATACTCCCTCCGTCCCAAAAACAACTTCCCACTTTCCTTAAATGGATGTTCCAAAATTAACTTCACACTTCAATACTTTCCTTATTTAGCAAATTATCTACATAAAAAAAGTGATAAACAGTGTCAAACAGTGTTTAAACAGTGCCAAACAGTGTTTAAACAGTGCCAAACAGTGTTTAAACAGTGCTAAACAATGCACTCTACAGTAAAGTCAAATTTATTTCCTAAAAGCGTGTGAAAGTCCAACCGGGAAGTTGTTTTCGGGACGGAGGGAGTATATATATACAGAAAAGATCAGGTCCCTCCGGAGGGACGGGAGGGACCGTCCGAACTTTATTGTTTGGGGCGCTTCCTGGTGAATTTTTTTGAGCATGTTCCTCATCGAGTCTAGTTTGTCCATACCAAATTGCAGCTCAAAATTCGACCGGGAAGGCATTCAAATAAATTCTTGAAGCTTACTGCATATTCTGCGCATATATAAAGTGCAGTAAGTTTCAAGAATTTATTTGACTGCCTTCCTGGTCGAATTTTGAGCTGAAATTTGGTATGGACAAACTAGACTTGATGAGGAACATGCTAAAAAAAATTCATCGAAAAATTCCACCGGGAACAGCCCCAAACAGTGAAGTTCGGACGGCTGCTCCCGTCCCTCCGGCTGGACCTGAGCAGTCCTCTCTCCCTCCATTCTTTAATAGTTGTCTCCGACTCCCTTTCCATTTTTGGTAAAATTTTTCAATAAATATACTCATTTACCCTCATTTTCTTTCCTACTTTTTCATTCTCTTTCCTACTTAGTCATGGACCCGGGCTGGGCCAGGCCCGGCCGGGCTTTTTTTTGGGAAGGAAGGCCCGGGACTGGCCCGGGTAGCCACCGGGTCCGGGCCGGGCCTCCGGTTTGGTCATATTTTTTTTTTTGCTTTCCTAACCTCCCCCCACCCCCCAAACCCCTCCTAACCATCAAGCCCAACCCGGGGTAACCCCAAAAAATGAAAAAAAAAAAAAAAAATTCAATTCGGCCCGGACCTGGGCCCGACCCGGCCGGGCCGGTTTGCCAAATACAAGGCCCGAGCCCGGACCCGCCTCCCCCACCGGGCCTAGGCCCGACCCGGACCCGAGAACCGGGCCGGTTCCGGGCCCGCACAGTAGCGGGCCGGGCCGGTCCCGGGCCGGGCGGCCCGAACCGGGTCCATGACTATTCCTACTTTGTCATTTAAACACAACCCACTATATCTTTTCCACTAGCCCTATTATCTTTCTCTTAAAACTTGTGTCAAATCCTGTAGGGACATCTAATAAAGAACGACGAGAGTATATGGCAATTCGTCTAAAAAATGAATATGGCTGTGTACACAGATAAATTGTTAAAATAAGTGTATATGTAGCCAAATGTGTACACCAAAACCAAATGTGTACACCCATAATAGCTGTCGGCCCTCTGAATATGTTCATACCAGAATATTATTAAATTCCATATAAAATGTTTGTGTTAGATCTCCATAAGAGATATTTTCATTCATGTAATTTATAAATTATTTTCTTTTTAGTTTTTTATACTTAAGAACAATCCCATTTCTAAAAAACAAATTGGTTCATCTTAATTTTGTTTATATCCAATCTTATACGAAGTATTACCTCAGTCCCAAAATACTATCTCATATTCAAATTTTGTCTAATTATATACGGAGTATTTAATGGAAATTACTTATTACCTATGTCCCAAAATACTTAGTCAAATTCAAAATTTTGACCAATTATACGAAGTATATAGTTATTGAAAATTATTTACGGAGTATAATATAAAAAAGATTTGAAGATGTTATTTGTTAAAATTACTTTCATAAAAGTATAAAATTAACCATTTTCATAATATTATAATCAAAATCATGATTCAAATTTCGGATTTGACTAATTATTTTGGGACAAATAGTATAATATAAAAATTATACGAAATTGTTCTTTGTTAAAAGTACTTCTATAACAATATAAAATTTATAATTTTCATAAGATCATACTAATCAAAATCATGATCCAAATTTTAAGATTTGGCTAAGTATTTTGAGGTGGAGAGAAGTACTACATATCTTTTTTAAACTATTAAAATAGTTACTACTAAAACTAAACTAATTATCAAAGCTTTCAAGAAGTCTCTGGTGAGAATGTTCAATAGCTTCTCAAAATGATGCTTGTATTTTCTGTGTAGCACAAAACCAGCAACCTGCATGCATGTAGTGAAAACCACTACTTGTAATTTTTTTAATCCATGTATTACAACATCAAAGAGGTCTTGTGTTCACCTGTGTTGCACGGAAACGCGAAAATCAGGAGGAAACGGGAAACGTCAACTTTTGCTCAAAAAAGGCTTATTTGGAGAGTTTCCAAAGAGTTTCCGAGAGTTTCCAAAGAGTTTCTGAGAGTTTCCGAAACGGAAACGTACTCTTTCCCGAGAGTTTCCAAAGAGTTTCTGAGAGTTTCCGAAACGGAAACGTACTCTTTCCCGAGAGTTTCCGTGCTACATAGGTGTTCACCAAACATACTTTGAGAAAGGCTTTTAAAGCAGCAGCAGTGTAAAGACATCATAGTTCGCTTGGACTGCATTTAAGAATCTAGCCAACCATGCCCAACCTTCTCGATGCCCATGCACGTTCTGGAACCCTTCGATTTCAGTCTAAAGACACCATCATATGGAACTAATACCTTTATATAATTCGGTTGTCTCTAAAAGAACTAGTACAAAATTACATAAATAAGGGTCTAGTTTTAATCAAGTGATTTGTGCGGGAAGACTTTGGAGGTCTGAGTCTATATCATATAGATAGAAGCCTCTAAAACAAATGAAGAGTGACTGAATGTTATAGGACCACCTATTATGGCATTCATCTTTTTATAAAATCTGAGGTTTGAATCTTATCTAGATACATAGAAGCCTCTAAAACAAATGAAAAGTGATTGAATGTCATAGGACCACCTATTATGTCATTCATTTTTTTAATAAAATCTCAAATAGATGTTCCCCATCTCCTAATAATCTTCCCATAGTGTGTCTGAGATTTATGCTGAAATGAGAAACAGTATCAGCCACATATTTCTTCAAAAGAAAAGAAGAAGATTGTTTTAAGATGGATGGAGTATATAACAATAAAAGAATGGAGTAACAAGAATGAAGCCATAGACTTAGCCCTCCAAAACCATCTATCCAAACTAAGGAGTTAGAAAACCTAAACAATAGCTCCGTGTAGTTTCATGTAGGCACATAACCGTTTTAGGTAACTAGTATCAGTTTCAATCTCCCCATCTTCTTGATGTCCAATAGCTCTATAGTAAGCTTTTTTTGTCTTGAAGACCGTTCAGTTACAGAAAAAAAATATGGGGGGGGGGGGGGGGGGGGGGCTAATGAATGCGGTACATTAGTCAAGATGAATCAGAAGTGCTTGTACCCAATGAGGTAACCAAGTCATAAAAAAGGCAGCCCGGTGCACGAAGGCATCTCCGCACCGTAACAAAAGGATTTTTTCTTTTGTTTAACCCTATAAACTCATTTTGTTCTGTACTTTTTTTTGGCTGAATATGAAATCATTCAATGCCTAGTTCATTTTTGCAGTGATTATGGTGATGGGATATGCTAATTCCCTTTCTGTTTCATATTGTGGGGGGTTGTTTTGTGAGTGGTTAGTTTATTCAGCAGTGTTCACAGTTCACCTTAGTTTTGGTGAAGCCTAGGTTCTTCCTTAAGAGTTCACCTATTTTGGAAATTTATACTTTCTAATAAGAATCTAAACTGAAATAATAATTGCTATTATTTGCGAATGAAGCAATATGAGGTCAGATTCTGGGTTTTGGGATTTTACTAGTTTTTTTTAACCAAGCATGTTTAACTCATCGACTAAATATAAATAATTATTTATACACAGCCATATACTATAAGTGATCTCACATCAGCTAATTACCAAGATACTGAATCACGTATAAGCTATTGGATTACTCGTGGTATCACGTTGAACTTTTATGATAGAATAAAAAAAAATTCGAGATTAGCCTTGTCAAAAAAAATTTGTCAAATGTTAAAAATAAGTCTGAATACACTATAAGTGCCTACTAAAGCTCAGACTAGTAATTTGACTGGTAAGCCTCAATAACAGATACTCAGACTTTAGTTCTTGTATGTGGAAAGTGTCCCATCCTTCCGGAGCAAAATACAAAGATATAAACTCATATATACTTCGTATATAATGTTTTAGACTGCCCTCCTGTTTGAGCAGCCTTTTAGAACTGAATTGCAAAAGTTAATAATTCTTACGGAGTATATCATATTCCCTCTATGTTAAGCATAACTTTGTCTACTTCCTTCCCCGCCTTAACTTGGAGGTTCTTGAAGATGGTGTGCTTGATCCTCAAATGACTGTTGTTTCTATATTCCCGTCTCCCATGCACTACGCGGGTCCGACTGAGGTGCAATGGCATGCAAAGGCTCGCATAAATGCAGGTGCTAATTTCTACATTGTGGGCCGTGATCCAGCCGGAATGGGCC